TCACAGCACTTACTTGAAGGATCCATCCCACTAGTTCTTCCGATGGCTACACCCATGGAGAAGTAGAAGACTGTAATGGGAACTTCCCACTTGAGTTCACTTTAAATTCTGGTAGTTGCCCAGACAAGGCCTGTTACTTGCCATCCCAGGGGAAGAGAAAATGTACGTTCAGTAGCTGTGCTCTGTTTATTGTCACTTTATAATCTGATTGCTGTCTGATGGTAATGATGGTGGCCCTAATCTTACAACCGGGTCTACAATTAATTCTGGTGGTTGCCCAGACAAAGGCAGATTACTTACCATCCCAGGTGAAGAGAAAACCGTACATTCACTAGCTTCGGTCTGTTTGATGTCACACTGCATAATCTGATTGCTGTCTGATGGTAATGATGGTGGCCCTAATCTTACACCGGGTCTACGATTGTAATTATCAGTGCTGTGCATCCAGGCATCTGCATTCTGAGGTAAATCATATATGGCTTCATTGTTGTTCTGAGAACCAGAAAAGGCACCATTCATGTCAAAATCAGGGTGTAGGAATCTTCTGCTATCCATTTTAGAGTGATCAGTACTAAATGGAGGAACAATTCCCCTCTTTGATTCACCAGCAAGATTGATTCCAAAGAGTTTAGTATTGATTCCCGCATTAGTGTTGCTTCTAGAATTAGAAGTCGTATGTCTTTCCTCAAGCTTTTCAGGAGAATTCAATGAAACTGCACCTTGGTTAGGGCTAAACATAGGCATTCCAAAATTCAAACCAAGGGGAGGCTGACTAATATTACCATCCATTGATTTTGCAATAGGCTTGAGGACTTGTGGTCTTCCACCTGAACCATTTCCAACAATTGCAGCTTTTCTACCACTGTCAAGCCTCTCAGAACTATTTAGATTGAAGGGAGCATGTTGATATAAAAATCCTGAATTTGGTCTATGTAAGAGTGATTGATGATCTCCTTCATGTAGGTAACGATGCATATGAAAATTGCTAGGGTTATTGATCTGGGAGGAATTAGTCATTAAGTTCCCCCACTTGGCACTATTTCCCTGTTATGAGACCGAGATACTGAAGGCACATTATCATTATGTCGACAGTCACTACCAACCCCATCAATGTTAGCAGAATCGTTGGTCAATAAATTACACCCTTGTTCTGGATTCCTTTGTGGCAGAGAAGTAGAAGCTTGTAGCTTGTCCTCCTCGTTCAAATTGTCCATTGCCATTACTTGGGCAATTCAGCTTTGAAAAGGAAGACACATCACAGAGACAAAAATCATCAGTGTTTTTTTTTTTTTTTTGCAAAAAAAAATCATCAGTATTTTAAAAAGTAAACATTAGAATGAAACTCAAACAAATTGAAGGCAACGAATGTTGAGGCGCAATAAAGATATTGGAAGAATACAGAAAAAGATTAAATTAGTCACATCTCTATTAAGTCTGTTATACACCGAAATGCAAGTTGCGAGCTTGAAGAATCAGCAAAGATACTTCTATTCTTCTTTACAAGCATACAGAAAAATCATCTAGTTATTATGAAACTTTTTTTTTAATTTTAAACCCACAAAACTCTTAGTGTATGTTTTCAACTTTGTATGATCCTCACCACTACAATCAAGGACGCCCGAAAGCAGAGAAAGAAACTTAAGAGATAAAAGCATCAGTTTGCCATTACAAAATCTATGCCCGAACTCTTGCAAGAAAGAACGAACACAAGAAACAACCCCATGCCATGTTGCATTCTAATATAGATATATGCATTGGAGAAGAAGAAAGTTCAAAACCCAGAAATTGAAGAGCATGAGCAATGGTAATGCGTGTGAACGCACGCATTATCGAGAAGCGAAAAAAAGAAAGAAAGAAAAGTGGTTCATGACGAAACAAAAAAAGTGATTGAAACTCAAGAAACACCCGATCTAGAAGATTCAGAAGAAAGCAAAAAACCCTCAAGAGAATAAGGGAAGAAATCCAAGAATGCGAAGAAGCTGACATTAGAAACGAAATAAAGATAAATTCAAAACACAGAAATGCCGGACTGGAGTCGGTATTGACGCGAAAAATCAATCGTGAGAGCTTGGAATAATCCGAGAAACCCAAAAACGACGCTACTCACATTGAAATTGAAGAGAATTTTGCGTTAAGAGAACAAAGAGAAAGGAGTACAGAAAGGCAATGGAATCGAAGAGAAGGAAGTAGAAGTAGTTACCACACCTGAGGCTACTCGGAGCAGAAAATCCAGCTCCCGAGGAAGAAGAGAGCGAAGGCAATATTTGGGGCTTTTTGAATGTCATAAAGGGCTGGATGTGGGGTCTACTGGCTTCACACATCGCGCCACGTTTTACAGAGCGTGTAACGCTTCGGGAGGTGAGCTCCAAATGACGTGGCAACATGTGCATGACATACTAAAAAAATAAATAAATAAATTCCATTAAAAAATAAATCCTTAAAAAAAAGTTTTTTTACCGTCAATAAATCCTGAAAATTTACAATGAGGCTTATAGGCACATTGCTGTGATTTTAAACTTTTATAACAAACAAAAAAAGCTTCCCAAAACCTAGCGTTCCAAAATAAAAAAATTTTAGAGTAAATTTGCACGTTAACCCAAAAATAAATTATATAGCACAAAATATTAATTCACAAAAAATGTAATTTTATGGCCATCTGAATAAGGCAACTTAAAACACATATAATAACACATATAATAAAGATTTATTTTTTATAGATTTTTCATCGCTTGGATATATATATCATTTGTTTTTTTTTTATGTTTATATTTTACTACACACGTTTTTGCATGGATTATATGAATTTGAAGTGAGTCAAACTGTAAATGACTTAGGAATAGTATAATTTGATAAAATTTTTGTATTTATGATAATGGATATGATGGACGATTGCAATGTATAGAGTTTCCAGATAACTTGTTGATGGGAAATTAGGAAATTTATTTCATGATTTTTTTTATTTTTTATTTTTTTTATGGTTTGCTATGACCTATGAGGCTTTAATAGATTGTTTACTATTTTATGTTCTTGTTTACTTGAAGCTTAAGTTAGGGTTTTTTATTTTAATTTTCATTTAGGTTTTATTTTAGGTAAAAGTATACTTTAAATTCCTTAACTGTATACAAGATTTTAATTTGATCTTTTAATAATTATGGTTATTTTGAAAATTAAACTTGATATATTAGTATTTGAGAATGGTTTGTCAACATTCAAAATTTCAATATCATCATTTTTTGTTAAAAAATTTTAAATTAAATTATAAAAACATACTTTTTAAAATTAAAAGATCAAATTAAAATATTATAGAAAGTTAAAGGACAAATAATATACTTTAGCTTTTATTTTATTTATGTTTGAGTCATTATTATTTTAATGATCGTACTTAAGTCTTTATAAATTATAGACATTTTTGATAAATTATTATTTTTAATAAATTTGTGCCACATTAGTTCTTTCATCTTATCATCTGTGTTTCTTCCATTTTTACCTCCTTCCTTCTTTCCCTTTATCTTGCATAAAACGCATTGTATCTAATTTATAGACTTTAACATATTATACATTTTTATTTGATTATTAATTTCCAATATTGGTAAACAATTATTATTTTAAGAGTTAATATAAATTTTTAATCCTTCAAGTTTGTCATCAATTTAGTTTTAGTCCCTTAACTTTTAAATCATAGGTTTTGATCCTTCAACAAGCAAAATGGTCCAAATTTTAATTGAATTATGACGATTAATGATAAAACTTTGAGAGATAACACTAATAAAAAAAAATTTAAAGGACCAAAAATTATATTATTTCTTATTTTAAAAAGGCTAAAAATTTTATCTGTAAATATATGATTTGGTGAAGTGCAGAGGTTTAAGTCCCAAAAAAAAAAAAAGCCCACACGGCACAGGCTTTGGGAGATGAGGTAAATTAAATAAATAAATTATTTGTTTATTTTTTTGTTAAAATTAAAACAACTTCCATTATATCACACGACATAAGCATTTAACATATTAGCATACTAAAATAGAGAAGCATGAATAACACAGAGTGAAATGGAAAAAATGGGCAAGTAATAAGGAGACGATGTCCTCATAAAGTAGTTGTAAGCTCTCATACTTACAAGCCGGTGACTAGTCAGGTGAACTGTGAAAGGCTAATAAGATGAAATAAATATATTAAGCACATATTTACACCAATCAGATTTTCATGGACCTTTTCTTTCTGAATAAGCATAGCGTTATGGGAGAATAACTAAAAAAAACTGAAAATTACAAATACCAAATCAGGTAATACAACTTTATTCGGTATTGATGAGTCTGAATTTACAAATGATAATAAATTTTTATTGACGGAATATTTGACATTTATAAAATTTCAGCTTTTTTTTTTGTCATTGTCCCTAGTGTTATTTGTGCAGCTATATTTTTTTAAAAAAAATACTTTCACTAACCACCAAGCACTTGGATCAACGGGTAAGGGGTTATTCCAGTTTAACCAAAGGTCACAGGCTTGATCCTTTGGGTATGCAGCAGTGCAAGTGGTAGGGTAGCCGCCCATATGGGTTCTCAAATTCCCGATCTGATTAGTCTGGTTTGTAATTTCCTGAAGAAAAAAAAACTTTCAAAAATCAAAAAAATTAATCCATACTTTTTGAACCCAAGATGTAAATACTAAGTTACTCCTCTGGTCCTATTTATAAATCATTTCTAACATGTAAAAACCTTAAACTTTATTAACTCTAATTTAAAATTTAACAATTTTTCAAATTTACCCTATGTAATATGCATCATATCTCATATAAACAAACTTAACACAATAATAAATGAAGGGTAAAATTATATATCCATATAAAAAATTTCTTTCAATATCCTGTTAATAAGACTAAAACATATTTTTTTTCTTTATCTTATAAATAGGACCGGAAGAGTAATATTTTACAAAGAATAGAATCCGCGATGTCTTCCTTTTGAAGCATCCATGCCCCTAACCCCAAGGCCTTTGGCCGACTCCGAGGCTTTTTTGTCTAATTGTGTTGCCATCTTCCATTTTCAAACCAATAGTCGAAAAAACTCTCTCGCTTTGCTAAACAACCCATGCCAAGCCACTGTATAAAACGTCTAAACTTCAAAGAAAGAAGCTACAATAAATTAACGTTTTATCTCACCAATTTGCAATATTCCTTCCTTCCTGAGCACATCAGATCGTCAGCCTGAGATCCAAAGCCATTCTCATCAGCTGCTAGCCAGCTGTGTGGATGGGAGTTTCATTTGCTTGAGGTGTTTTCTGGGAAACACTTGTGCAAGTCCATCATCACTTTTATTGCTTGCAACACTTCCATTATGGCCGCCGACCGCCGTCAAGTTAGCTCCGGTCGGTAATGATACAATTAGTGCTTGTGCTGGTGCAGGGGCTAACTCCTCCGCTGCTGCAACCGTGGTCCACGGCGGTGCCACCTCCGTTGAATTCCCTGCAGATTGGAAAGAGAGAGAGAGAGAGAGGAAGAAAGAAAGAAACTTTCAGGTATGGATGACATATATGTGAGCCTGCAAGAGAAATATAGCAAATTCTTGAAGGCCGGTGGACATGTTTACCATATAAATCAAAGTCTGGCTTTGAATTCTCTGACAAGAGAACAAGTGTGGGAGTGATGATTGTGAGAAAAGCCCAGAAGATGAATATTGGAATTAAGGTTCTTTCACTCATTTGTTGGAATAATAATGAGAAGTAAAGGACTGAACTTTGTGGGGCATGTAAGACAAGAATCCGGTGGTTCGCAGAGAGGAGAGATGGGGAAGATGATTTTCTTAGCTGGCCATGTTTAAACAACATTTGTATAATACAATGTAAAACTTAGTATCCCATTCGATAATTATGTAATTATTATTATTATTATAATTATTATTATTATTATTATTACATGCAGAGTCAGGGTTTAACAACTAAAAGCTGGCCATTTGTTTTCGCAGTTGTGGGGTGCTTGTTATTAGTAGACACCGCTGGTTTAATTGGACCAATTCTTCAACGGAGAATCTCCCCATGCAGCCAAAAAATGAAAAGAAAGCAAACTTTATAAAAGTACGATTAGGGTTAAAAGATCTAAAGAAGAAACATTGTTTTCAAATACTAACTCCGATCATTAATATAAGCGCTCATTTTAATTTTATTTTTATCCTAAATGTAAAACCCTAAACCACTTTGTCTGTTATATTTATTTATTTTTTCAAAATAGTCCTTGTAATAATAATAATAATTCTAACCAATCCACTTGATTAGCAAGAATATTTTAAGAAAAATAAAATCTATTTATTAAAAATAACTAACTTAACTAATTTTTTTAATCTACTTAAATTAGTCAATTAATTTTTATATTAAGAGCCGGAGGTGGTATGTGATGACAAAATAGGCTGTTTTGACATAGAAAAGTGATGTGGGGTTTTGACTCTTTGTTTCTTCCTAATTTTCAGGAGGAAGACTTTAAATACTTATTATATATTCTTAAATAAAAAACCAATAATAAAATAAAACATTGCCTGTATATATTGAAAATTCATGTCAATTATTTTGTTTATTTTATTGTATGTGTATATTATTATTATTATTATTATTATTATTATTATTATTATGCATAAGCTCAGTCTCTCCAAATTACTTTGGACTTAAGATTTAATCTCTATCGGACTAGAAGTGTAACGGTTAAAACATTGATTCATTACCCACCTCTTTTGTTTTGTGTGGTTAAATTTGATATCTAACTCCACTGTTACAACATTACCTAGAACATCAGGCCCATATATTTAATTTCTGAAGATCCAAATTCAATGTCAACCGCATCAGGATGCATGCAAATCGCACGAACATTTTAGAGGAATACTTCTATTTCTTCTATCCTCTTTTTACCTTATCCTGCCAGCAAACAAGTAAACATTCCAATATCCAAACCCTATACAAGTCCAAAAGCTTGAACTTCATAACTCCCTTCTCAATCAAGACACAGCCAGGATATTTGGACACACAAAGAAACATAGGCAGATAAGTCTTTCAAAAAGTAAGTCTTGGAATCACAATTCAGAGTCCATCAATTAACAAACCATCTATTACTTCTTACGAATGATTGACCTACATATATACTAAAACTTCTAAAGACCCACAACCTAAACTGATTTCCTGTCCGGACATACGGAGCTTCAAAGTTTCAGTCCCTGGAATGGCTCACTTCTTCCCTGAGTACCTCTGTCAGGAATAAACAAAAAAGGATTCACTCAATTAGGAAGACTAAAGATGATCAGATAGAAATCAAGTCAGGGTTGCCTATGGTTAAAAATGCCAAAAAGCCAGAGCTCTCACCTGCTTTCCGATGCTGAAAGGGACATACTTGTACTTAATCATGTGCATAATTTGGCGCTTCATTGTGAGGATGAAGAGGACAACCCAATAGCAGAGAAGTATGGGCCAGAAAACAGGGACATCAAGCACAGATATGAATGTCATAAGAAAGCCAATGCAGAAAGCCTTCGTTATGGCATACCTGGTACATGAATTAATTCAAAATCAACACAACATATCAGAGTCTTCCATTCAAAAATATTGTTGCAGAAGTTCAATTTAATAAAAGCAAGTGACCTATCACCCCCACCATAAAAGACTAGTGACAAGGGGACAATTACTGAATCCACTCAAGCTTCCAAAAAGCTTCCCACTAAATAAACTCTAAATAAATACTCCTCCGGTCCTAATTATAAGACCCAATTGACTTATTTGAGGAGATTAAGGAAGTAAGTTAAGTTGGTTATTTATAATAAATAAGTGTTGTCATTCCTAAAATATCCTTGCTAATTAAGTATATTGGCTAAAACTATCATTATTAGAAGGATTATCTTGGAAAAAAATGCATAAATATAAGAGACAAAATGGATTGGGTCTTATAATTAGGACCAAATAAAAAGTCAAATTGGGTCTTATAATAAGGACCGGAGGAGTATATCATTATGTATATAACATAAAGGCTAATGCATTATTCACAAGTCATAGACCATGTAACACATTGCTCAGACTCCATACCATACACGAAAATAAGTTTAGTCGTTCTTTTATAACAAGATTACTTAAAGAAACCTTTAATATATAGGTATAAAAAACCTTTTGGTCGGCAAACTTATCTTTAGGTCCGAGAACTAGAAGCTTGTTTACCAAAGACAAATGAATCTAAAGAAGCTAATTACAAGTACCGAAAAGTTTCTTCTATTTATTAAGAAAAAAGATATAAGCACAAAGAATCTGAAGTGATTGCTTTAAACTGTATGCTTATGAACATCCAAGACCGTCTCAGTGTGTCAGAACTTAAAATAGACTCCTCAATGACTGACAATAATGTCCAACATGCACGGGTGAATATATGTCAAGCCTACATAGGTAGATAACTAATAATAAGATGAATGATTAATCATGTCCAGCCTTCTCTGTTATCTTTACAAATAGAAACTCCACAGCTAGTTTGCATGCCACACATTTTAGAAATAAGTGAAAGGGAAACCTTATGATAATAGGAATCCTCTACTCTAGACAATGGAGAAGGTTGTGAAGGGAGAACTCATTTTCAATATGGTAATAATTTATTGTCCTATAACCACCCGGAGGTATGGATTGAGCATTTCGCATACGCTAAGCACAAATTTCTAATAATTTTCATTTCCATCGCCAACATGCTCTGATCAAATTAGCACATTTGATTCAACATGAAATGAAGCATCCCAACCCAAGGTTCAAAAATCACAACATCAATGGGAAGGGTGGAAAAAACCGTAGCCTCTTACAGCTCCTTCAACTAGCATTCAATTTCAATTACAGCCAGAGAAAGTCCCAGATCATTCTGTCCTCAGCGATTTTGATTAAAGAAGTTAGCACATACAATGAGTATGACAAATGTTTATTGGTTGCCTCTTTGTGAGCTAATTGTCCTTGTACAAATTTTTAAGTTGATTACTCTCCGGGGCCTCGCAAACTAAATGAAGCTTCCTGAAGTTTATAAATTGACATACCTTGCAAAGATTCATCATGTGATCAGCTTAAATAATAAAAAAAACTCAACTATCCTGCAAGAGTCTCATTGGTTAAACAACATAATTACCAATAAATACACCAATATTCTGAGGTACTTCATCAGAGTTCCTAGAAATGGGGACAGCATATACGTAACTAACAGAACCAACATTATCCTAAAGCATCCTCACTGCCCACTTTGCTACCCCAACGTAAGCATTAACAAAAGAACCATGCTAGCTAAAAGTTTCATAATAACTTCAGTAAGGGTCATATTAGATATTACCAGAACTTGAACTCAGGAAGGCGACGAACAAATGGCTTAAACTCATCTGAGTCCTTAGTAGGCAATGAAGCCCCGTCCAAAACTTCGAGCTCAGGATCAACTTTGGGCGACATAAAACCAATCAACAGATTCAGTATATAGATGCCTAGGCCATAGGACACAATGTAGAACCCCCGAACGTAGTAAACCCTTAATACATAAATAGCGGCCACAACAAGAGTTCCCAGCCACCTCTGAACTGTGTGAGGAGTCGAACGATCCAAATAGTACTGAAACGCCCTAGAAAAATCATTCCTCCATTGAGCAAGAGGTGCGACAACGGAGGGGATATCGCTTCCAGCTCCTTCCATGAAAAGCTAGTCTTGTAAGCTCCAGCTGTTATGTCCCACAGAAAATTTCAACGCCCTCAGAAAACCAGGATGACAAAATATTTCGCAATGCGTGTGAATCATAATCGCAATATTAATGCAATCCCGGGAAAAAAAATTTTGCTCCCTAATTAGAAAGAGTAAAGGAGGGGGGGAAACTGCGAACAAAAAAACCATACATTTTCTCAACGATTCAGCCAGAAGTATAGCCGAGTAAGCTTGAACACCACCGACAAGTTTACAGCCTTCTGCGTTCGAAACAGGGTTCAATTTTATGTAAGCCCTACAATCAATCAATCAATTTCATCAAATCCACTGGTAAGACGAATCATGATGAAGTTTACATCTTACAACAGGGGAAATAAACAAATAAGATTTCGGTAAGATTTTAGATTATTCTCGACAAAATCCGAATAGAAGTCCATCGAATGATCAATAAATGGCAGAGTGAAAGCTTCACCCTCAAAGAAATTGGAAGCAAACCAAGGTCGGTTGTTGTTGGACTTTCGATAAATGAACCAAAGGTCGTTTTCCACCAATCCATACCATTTCAGAATTTTGATGGGCTGCTTCCTTCGGGATACGGAAACGAACCGTTTTCCAGTTGAGATTCAAGACTTTGGAAAAAAATAAATTATCTCCTGTTTTAATTATAAGAACTAATTAATTAATTTAAAAAAATTAAAAAAATAAATTAAGTTAGTTATTTGTAATAAATATGTGTTTTTTTTTTAAATATTCTTGGTAATCAAGTTTATTAGTTAAAATTACTATTATTAGAAGGATTATATTAGAAAAAATAATAAATATGAGAGACAAAGTGGATTAGGGTCTTATAAGATAAAAGTCAAATAAGATCTTATATTAAAGACCAGAGGTAATACTACCTATTAAAAAGTCTTAATAATTTGTATCCAAAAAAATAATAACAATAATAATAAATACCCTAAAAATTATTAAAGACAAATCAGTGTACGTAAATTTCAAAATTTCAATTCAAACCTCTTGACCATTTTGAAATTTTTTAAATCTTGTAAAATTACACAAATACTTTTATTATTTTTCTTACAATTCTTTTAAAATACTGTCATCTCAGCATTTCTAAGCACTTCTGGCCGTCGAAACTTTGGTGACGGGTTGCTGGAGCTCTGGTGACTTTTTTTTTTCTATATTAACTACTTGTTTTAGTTATTGACTATATTTGTTTTTAACACCCTGATGACTACTCTTGTTTAGTTATTGACTATTCTAATATTACGATTGACTATTTTTATTTTTAAAATTTTGGTGACTATTCTTATTTAACTATTGACTACTCTAATTTCGTTATTGACTACTTTTGTTTCAAAAATTCAAAAAATACATTAAGTGTTGTTGGACATCTAGTGACTACTTTTTGTTTAGTTATTTACTGTTCTTGTATAGTCAATAACTATATAAAAGTAATCACATTTGAAAACAAAAGTAGTCAATAATTAAATTAAAGTAGTTAATAGTTATATGAAAGTAATCACTGAAAGTGAGGACAATGTTGTCAATTCACAATATTTTAAAATTTCAAAATAGTACAAAGGGTCTAATTTGATATTTTAAAATTCACCTGCCGTAATTTATCCTTTAGTATTTTTAAAAGAGTCTTAGTATCTTTTTACCCAAAAAAAAAAAACTCTTAATAATTAGTGAACACTGAACCACGTTGATTTTTTTCCTTTTTATATTTGTAGTATAATAAGTTAATATTATTAGGATTAATATAGAAATTTGTCCTGAATATTTTTATTTAGTTGCAAATTTATCCTGAGGGTTGAAAACAGTAGTAATATTATCCCTCTTGTTAAAATACTTATACTGAATATTAAAATAGTGAATATTAAAATAATTATATTAATAGTTAATATTTTAAAATATAAGAAATAATATTATTGTCATTTTAATTTTTTAAAATAAGTTTGTATAAAAAAATGCTTTTGAATAACTAATATTGGTAAGTAAAAATTTTTAGAATAAATTTATAATTTTTGAAGTAAATTTACACTTTAATCCATGAGAATTGACCCAGAATGTTAATTCAAATTTCATGAAATGTACCTAGCAATTTTAAAACCCCATTTTGCCCTCCCCATTATACGGAATATACTACCCTACCACTGGAACTGCGAGGAGGAGGATGCCTTCTGGTTCTTAACGCTATCCTCCATTTCCTTCTTCGATTACACATCGAGCACGCCGAACGCAAACAGAGCTTGAACTTGCAGAAGCTTGTATCTCTTTGCTACTCCACTGGTAGTCAAAAGTGGAAATTGCATATGGGAACTTTAGGGAAAGCAATATACACCATAGGATTCTGGATTCGTGAGACTGGGCAGGCTATTGATCGGCTCGGTTGTCGCCTCCAGGGCAACTACTACTTCCAAGAACAGCGTAAGCCCTTCTTTAATCCTCTCTTTCTGAGCTTGCAGATCCAATTTCCTATTCAGTTCGTTTGTGAATCGGAAAAATCTATAATCCCCCTTTCAAGGTAGATGTTTTTGGTCGATTTTATAAAAGTGCTGTCTCTTTTTTGTCAACGTAGTTTTACAAAGTTGGTAATTGGTGTCATAGATCAATGCTAGTTGAATCACATTTGGAATCGCGCTGCTGAATAGACTTTGCAGGGATGACGAGGGGTGTTCATTCTAAATATGAGATAATACCTTATCTCATGTCGTTTTGTTGAATAGTCTGTGCTTCTACTTTCTTTGTCTCCGACCACATTGAGACGTCAGTGAGAGACCGGTCATACCGAAAGCTTTTGGGCCATAATACTGAGACGAACAATTTAGTACGATGAACACATCAAGTCATCAAAGGATTGTTTCTGGCATCGGAAGTTTCCAGTCAGCAACCCTGAATGAGATTATGTGATTAATATTGATGATTGACAATAGCTTGTTTTAGTATTCCTTTCTTTTACATATCAAATTGTGGTCACAGACTTACAGTGCTTTAAAACTAAATTTGCTCATGAGAGGAGAAAGGTTTGAGGCATATCACTGTTTTCACGGACTCTGTTCACAGTTAAAACTGATCATGAGAGGAACTATCTTTGACCGCCCTTATTTTGATTTTATTGAAGAAGCCAGATTTGCTCTCTCCAGAAATTGGAATGTTTGTGTATATTTCACCCTCAGAGAATACTACTCAACTGCTGACATATTAGCTAGATTAGGACACACTAATTACGAGATTTTTTGCTCCTATGATCAACCACCACCCAGCAATGCATTATCTTTCTTAGACTCTCAAGTTTTCTTAATTTGTTAACTTGCCCTCATTTTTTTTGTTCGCATGATCACCTTTTCCTCCTCTTTTAATCATTTTTGCTTCATGAAATTGAAGGATATATGAAGAAAATGAAATGATTTGCTTTATGTGTGTGTGCACACAAACACCTCCTTTTCTGGTCTCTGTTTATGGTTTTTTTTTCCTTCACCAGTTTTTCGTTATACCATGAAACATGTAAAGTGATCTTATTCTTTCTTCTTTTTTTTTTGTTTAGTGTCTAGGCATCGAACTCTGATGAACATATTTGATAAGGCTCCTGCAGTTGATAAGGAGGCCTTTGTTGCACCAAGTGCCTCCATCATTGGAGATGTTCAAGTTGGAAGAGGGTCCTCAATTTGGTATGGATGTGTCTTGAGAGGTAAGGTTGTTTGCTTGATCAATGGAAAGTAAAAGCATTCTAAAGATTTCACGCATCAAATGCTTCTACAATCTTTTTCAATAACCTGTTGTGCACGACTTTATATGGGGTACCCTTGCTGAAAAGAGAGAAACAAAAAAGAAAAGAAAGCTTTAGCTCAGCAGCTTTCATATATTGGGAACCTGTGTATCTTTGATTATCTAATGAAAATCAAATCATGAAATTCTGTCAGGTCTATATTTTGTAGATACGCATGGTGGTAATGTTTGATGCTCACATCATGCGCAGGTGATGTGAACAGCATCAGTGTTGGAAGTGGGACTAACATACAGGATAACTCCTTGGTCCATGTGGCAAAGTCAAATTTAAGTGGGAAGGTGTTGCCAACTATTATTGGGGACAATGTTACTGTTGGTGAGTAATTTTTCTTCTGTAATGAATAATCACACTACTATATTGTAACCAGCTTTTGTGCTTTGCACTGGGTAGGTCATAGTGCAGTTTTACATGGCTGTACTGTTGAGGATGAGGCCTTTGTTGGTATGGGTGCAACACTACTTGATGGTGTCGTTGTTGAGAAAAATGCTATGGTTGCTGCTGGAGCCCTTGTGAGACAGAATACTAGGATTCCCTGCGGAGAGGTATGCTTTTAGTAATCACATCAGTTTCCTTTGTCTAAAACTTATATCCTATTCATGGAACAGAGAGAGAACTCACGCTTCTTTCTGCTTCATTGTTCTTACAATTTTTTCCCGTTTATTGTCTAGCTGACCAGCGTAATACTAACCATGTGAAGCATAACCTCCAGAAGCTAACTTTTCTATAATACAAATTGTACATCCGTTAGCGACACTCTTGTTAATATCTTTAGTAATACTCTCAAGTCATAATTGATTTGTCAAAATGCTGTTGGAATAGAGATATTGGTGGTTGAAGAACCTAATTGTTAAGTTAATTTTAATTCTAAATATAAAACCTATTTCTTATATTTATCATTTTTTTCTAAATTACCCTTATAGATACTCCCTCAACCATAATCAAGTAAGTGAGGGAGTGAGGATATTAAGAGAGATGATTATGGTGTTTTAAGAAAAATATATCATATTTCTTATAATTAACTAATTTACCTAACTTCCCTAATCTAATCAAATTAGTTAAATAGGTCTTATATTAAGGACCGGAGGAGTATCACATAAGTATATATCGTAATTGGTTAAATTGTGCTGTGACTACATTCAGCTCGATAAATTATGAAGTGGAGACCTTTCATCGATTCAAGAATCAGTCTGGTTTCAGAAATATCGTTTGGTACAATGTCATGTTTCTAATTTAACTTCCTATAAGGATTTCAATTTTAAAAGTAGATTTTCATATTCTTGTCAGCTTTGTAGAAATCATTTGGATGCCTTCTGCAGCATTATTACGAGGTTGGATAGAGTAGAAGATAGAAGCTATTTGAGTACATGATGATGTTATCCTAACAAGTGCTTGTGATTCTATTTGTAAAACAATGGTCTTTTAGACCAGAGTCATCAGTATGTGTTGTGTTAGGTCAAAGAAAGAAGTCAATATGTGTTGTGGGATGAAAAGAAATACTCAGTCATGCTTCTTTCTTTAGCACAAGCTTGCCTTTGGTGCAGGTGTGGGGAGGCAATCCGGCTAAGTTCCTGAGGAAGCTCACCGATGAAGAGATAGCATTTATCTCACAATCGGCCACCAATTATACAAACCTTGCACAGGTCCATGCAGCTGAAAATGCCAAGT